TATATATATATATATAATTTTTGTACAAATCTGAAATATGAATAATTTAAACAATGTTGAGATTTTGCATCAATTGTGGAGTATACTGATATATTGAATTGAACTTACTTGCACATAGTTACATCACAATTGTTTGACTCGTTCTGATTGTGTTCAAATGGCACCCTGTATTCCTGATTCATCCTCAGGTTATTTCTGCTCAGGACACGGTACAGTGTTTATAAGATTACCTTATCGATATTTTGAAATATCTCATTGCTTTCTATTGTTTTTGTTTGTATTTGCCGTAATATTATGGCATTATTTTCTAGGACCATGTTCACAATTTCAGTTTCCTGTTGAGGAGACAGAACATGTTCCCGTCCACATTGTGTTGGTAATCTTTCAGTTCTGCAATACAAATAGTAAAATACTGGAAATACTGTGTAGAAATACAAAGCAGAAATACATTTCACAAATACTTGAAGAACACTTCATTTTTACAGTCCTACAGAAAAGTCCAAAGGCAGTACTGTGCTACTGTACTCACTGAGTACAATACTGATATGCAGTACTGCAGTTTTCTAGTGAGAGTAGATTTCTTATCTATTCTCATTTCAGAAAGTCCAGATGATGGATGCTACAGTGTACCTGCTCACATTTGTCTGTACTCTTTGTCCAGCCTCCATCATTGTTAAACCATGGCTGAGCACATGGTCAACCAAAGGGGCTCGGGTCTCATCAGAGATTACGGTGCTTGGCCTTCCTCATCCTTGTCTTCCCCGTTTTACTCCTCCTCCTCTCACTCCTCAGGCTCTGCCTCTGTTTCCAGTATTGGCATCCATTGCTCCAAAACAGAAGACCTCACCTGTTTGTTGCCTTTTAGTACTAAAGCTCTGATAGCTAATTGCAAAACTGTATGAACAGTGTTTGCCGATGTGATGAGTCAGTGTGCAGAGTAGGGTAATACATTTTAGAATTTTGAATAACAGTGTGATCTTTGTGGAAACAAGAGATTTCCAACAAAGTTCAATCTGGTCCTCTGGACATTAAAAAAAAAAACATAAAACAAAACAAAGCAAAAAAATGTAGAAACGTTTCGTCTTTCATCCGAGA